TCAGTATACACAGACAAGACTGCACCAGTGTTCAGTATACACAAACAAGACTGTACCAGTGTTCAGTATACACAGACAAAACTGTACCAGTGTTCAGTATACACAGACAAGACTGTACCAGTGTTCAGTATACACAAACAAGACTGTACCAGTGTTCAGTATACACAAACAAGACTGTACCAGTGTTCAGTATACACAAACAAGACTTTACCAGTGTTCAGTATACACAAACAAGACTGTACCAGTGTTCAGTATACACAAACAAGACTGTACCAGTGTTCAGTATACACAGACAAAACTGTACCAGTGTTCAGTATACACAGACAAGACTGTACCAGTGTTCAGTATACACAAACAAAACTGTACCAGTGTTCAGTATACACAGACAAGACTGTACCAGTGTTCAGTATACACAGACAAGACTGTGCCAGTGTTCAGTATACACAGACAAGACTGTACCAGTGTTCAGTATACACAAACAAGACTGTACCAGTGTTCAGTATACACAGACAAGACTGTACCAGTGTTCAGTATACACAAACAAGACTGTACCAGTGTTCAGTATACACAGACAATACTGTACCAGTGTTCAGTATACACAAACAAGACCGTACCAGTGTTCAGTATACACAAACAAGACTGTACCAGTGTTCAGTATACACAGACAAGACTGTACCAGTGTTCAGTATACACAGACAAGACTGCACCAGTGTTCAGTATACACAAACAAGACTGTACCAGTGTTCAGTATACACAGACAAGACTGCACCAGTGTTCAGTATACACAGACAATACTGTACCAGTGTTCAGTATACACAAACAAGACTGTACCAGTGTTCAGTATACAGAGACAAGACTGCACCAGTGTTCAGTATACACAAACAAGACTTTACCAGTGTTCAGTATACACAAACAAGACTGTACCAGTGTTCAGTATACACAGACAATACTGTACCAGTGTTCAGTATACACAAACAAGACCGTACCAGTGTTCAGTATACACAAACAAGACTGTACCAGTGTTCAGTATACACAGACAAGATTGTACCAGTGTTCAGTATACACAGACAAAACTGTACCAGTGTTCAGTATACACAAACAAGAAAAGAAAGAAATTCAAAATGAATCATCTCACAATTGTGAAATTAAATAGGGTGTATCCAGACAGATGTATATCATACATCTGTTGTCTGATCATAATTGTCATGCAATCATGGTAACTGGTGATCAATTACCAGACTTTTTTAGACACCAACCATATTACAACTACCGACATGGAATTTAATTAATTCAAACTTGTTCATAGCGAACAATGAATTTTGAATATGACTACATTTCATGTGAAAAAGATAGTCACACGTCAAGGACAGCACTAAAATATCGATTGTAAAATGTGGAACACTGATCTAGCGATCTTAGTGCAACCTTGATAGTGAACCTATGATAAAGTATGGGCGCTACGACCAACTTAGCACTGAGATCGCTTTGTGGAACCCGTTCCTGGAGGAACTATCTGCAGATTCCACTGTAGTCTGTATCGCTCTGGATGCCACACAGTGTTTTTACTGTTACAGTACTGACCAGTTGCTGTGATCCTTGATGTAGTACCCGTGAAGATCCGGGGTAGAATAGGTCTTCAGCAACCCATGCTTGCCGTAAAAGGTGACTGCTTGTCGCAAGAGGCGACTAACGATATCTGGTGGTCAGGCTCACTGACTTGTTTGATGCATGTCATCGTATCCCAATTGCGTAGATCGATGCTCATGATATCAATCACTGGATTGTTTGGTCCAGACTCGATTATTTACAGACCGCTCTCATATAGCTGGAATATTGCTGAGTGCGGCGTTAAACAACAAACAGACAAACAAACAAACAAAAAACAGTTTAACGGAACATATATTTCAGAACATGACACTTGATATAACGGAAAATCAGTCAATAAGATATACTTTCCACATACCGGCGTGAACCGTCTATAAGTGTAACGGAGAATTTAGCCGTATTCACACGGTTCAGAATAGTTTTTTTCTTGGTGTGGATCTCAAAACTCCAAATGTATCTGTACGAGTCGAGATGTGGTTCTATTGCCCATCGGGGCGATCGGGTAGACTTGTGGTTAAAGCGTTCGCTCGTCACCTCGACATTCCCGACATGGATGCAATGTGTGAAGCCTTTTTCTGGCGTCCCCCGCCGTGACACCAGAATATTGCTCGAAGCGGCGTAAAACCATACTCACCCACTCACTCACTCAGTCACTATTGCCCATCTCATGCAGAGATATCGTCGTTTCTGGATAAAGTTAAACAAGGCGTCTCCAAATCGATTAATGCGTGCAATTAAGTCATGTTCCTCTAAATTCAGAAAGTCTTGGGATAACCAGAAACCATATTCTATGTATGTTCTCTGGGATGACACTGTGTTAGAACTGCTTGAGAGGTAGCAGTTACCTGTTCACATCATATCATGTTTCTTCCAGAGACATTTCCAGGGGATCATGGAAATATTCTTGGCAATCTAATTGTAACAAACTGAGAGTATAGAGTAAGTGAGTATAGTTTGACGCCGCTTTAAGCAATATTCAAGCAATATCACGGCGGGGAACACCAGAAATCGGCTTCACACATTGCACCCATGTCGGGAATCGAACCCGGGTCATCGGCGTGACGAGCGAACGCTTTAACCACTAGGCTACCCGACCGGCCCTTACAATCTAAGAGCAAATCGGTTGTTGAAATACAACTTCTGTACATAATACTGTACATGCCAATATTTGGAATCGGTCTGTCCGTGGAACTCCAGCGAAACTTCGTTGTGGTACGCCTCTTTCTGAATGTGTTTGTATGTTTGTGTTACCTGTGAATACTATTCTAATTTAAGAGAATGTTTCACCAAGCCTCTCAATTAATTCCAGGGCGGTGGTGTAGCCTAGTGGTTATAGTGTTCGCTCGTCACGCTGAAGACCCGGGTTCGATTCCCCACATGGGTACAATGTATGGAGCCCGTTTCTGGTGTCTCCCGCCGTGATATTGCTGGAATATTAATTAGAGCATGAAAAGCGGCGTAAAGAATGCTCACTCACATGCAGTGAGAAAAGCTGTCGTTAGTCTTTGCCGCTGTCGTGAATATTATGTTGAATTGTAGGAAATGTAAATATATACACTCTGAATGCACTTTAATTCATAACTTAGTTCAACTGAATTAATACGTTTTTAAAAAAAAAAAAAAATTTTTTTTTTCAATATCTGCAAATATTTTAACCTTTATCTTTAACATGTATTGATATATCAGCACGTTGAGTGCTTTTACTGTGTTATCATTGATACAATTGTGTCTCATAGTCATATTGGCGGGATGGTGTATAATACGTCTGGTTGGAACATTGTATAACTTTCAGGATAACATATGCCGTGTAATACAGTAATACAATAGTTTATCTCTTATCTTACCTATATCTAACAACGCCATTATATTTATGACAAGGGATATTCAGAGCGGCGTTAACCCACCTCACTCTCAGCTATACCAGGCAGGGTATATGAGACTGGTGTATCGACTCGCTGGCCGCGGGGAAGAAACGTTCTGATTGTCGCGCGTTCACAACGTCACGTAACAAACTGACACTCACTCAGAAATGCAAATACGTTTAACATCCGTGTATTGAATTACGTTTAATGCTGCCCTTAAGTCTGTCGTAAGCTAACTGAATATTGAAATAAACAGGATGTGCATACCTAAAATTTGCCATCGCCGTGTCGCAGTTTCTGGCTGGTGAGTGCACGACGTCAGGTACACGCGTGATATGTGCTATGTAGATGGTCAATAAACCACTTATACCACGACGGCATGCCTCAATAAAGAACTACATGTGCCTATATTTTGAACATATTTAGCCCCAAAAGTGGGTTCAAGTTTGTTAAATCGATAATATACTCAACAACAAAAGTTCCTGTGACACCAATATTTTAGTGTATTTTTCAAACAAGTAAAGTTTGGTTTTCAATATAGTAGTACATGTATGGAATCAAGTCACAAAAACGCAACTGCTACAGAAAAGCATGCATTCCATACAAAAGTTGACTTTTATGCAAGCCCCATGCATTTCACTACCCAAGAAAAGGTATAAAAACATGTGCGTTAACGGGATTCCATATGCATTGTTTAGCATCGTGCTGACAACAACCACTGAGAAAAACAACAAAATTACGCAATCATTCAACATTACGAAATGCCACTATTGTCCGAAAATGAGCGTCTGCGAGCCATTGGTATGCTTGAAGCAGGATTGAGTCAACGTGATGTTGCAAGACAATTTAACGTCCACAGAAACACCATTTGGTCTACATCTTGCATGGCAATGATCGATTCACTTCAGTCTGATTAACATCAGATTTCTCACTCCGAACTGATAATTGTCTTCGCACAGAAGGGTGTCGTATCGGACTAAACAATAAGATCTTAATGCGATTTGATTCACGTTTTCGAGGCACGAAATAAACGAATAATGTCTGTTATTTCCATGCATGGGGTATGTCTGTTTCTCTTCCAGCTCACAGAATCGTCTAAATACTATCTGGTGAGATGTGTACAAGTCACACATTGATGCAGTTATTTGTGTGATGGTGTGTGATGTTGTTACAGTTTGAGTGTTTTACGCGAATTCACGTGTAGCATTTGCATAGAATTATATTCTCCAATTACTCCAGAATGCGTTATCTATGCTGTTCCCCACAAACAAACTGAAGCCGTTTCATGATTCACAGATTACACGATTTAAAACTGTTGCGTTGTGTATACGATGTACACTTGAAGCCTACAAAAAAACAAAAACAACAACAACAACAACAACATTTAGAATTTAATTTTCCGTCAGTGTGTATATCAATATTGATTATTATAGCTAAAACGTTACAAACACAATGACAGGAGATCGGCATGTCTACCGCAGCAATAAACAGCTGACGAGGTTTACCTGCGAGTGATCACGTGACTTCATGAATATTCATGAGCCTGCTTCAATATGGATTACACCTCCCGTGGTCCGACCGTAACAACTTGACTGACTTCCCGACTCAACAACATGGCGGCGGTGGTGAGTATACCCTAGCAATAGTGTTATGTGGTGTATCAGTAGTGGAGTATGGGCTATTATCTATGTATAAACGTAAACATTAGTCCGCTACCAGCACACACGGTGCTGTGGTGAGCGCACTCGCTGAATGGGCGTTCTTGGCGATGTAAGTCGCTCGCTGTCTTCGGCTGCCTTAGGAAAACACAGCGATCAGTCGACCGACTCGGGCATATAGACTTGCTCGGGCTCTTAGATGTAATGTGAGTGCATTTGTTCAGAGACCATATACCGGTATATGGTCTCTGATTTGTTTAAATAGACGTTACGCTCATTACAAACACATTTGGGCACAGTTATGTAGGAATATTTAAGAAAGGTATTGATTTAAATTGAAAATATATAATTGAGCATGGTGTACTCGTCTAAATCCTACCATCTATACAATGTAGTGACTAATATTTCTTGACTCTAGGAGAGTAAATATTGGCTTATAACGCGTCATTAACAGAGAACAGAAATTTCCGGAGAAACACGGGTTTTTGGACTGGTCACGGAAACCAGAAAATGGGGAAATGTTGCATTTTATAAATAGCAGTGTTCTGTTACTTCCCAAATTCTAGACAAAGAAATCAAAGTTTGGGATTTTGTTGTGTTTTTAGGTTTGTTTGTAACGTTTAAAATATCAGTTTGAAAATAGATCGGGAAAGGTGACATGTATGAGACCCTCTGACTGCACCCGGTGCCAGTCACCCAGTGTAAGACTTCTAACTGTGACTATACACCAGACTTGCACTTTGGACCATTTTGTGTTGTGATCATGTTATTAAATTTGTCATGTCCATTGAACGCGAGAAGGGGACTCGTCCGTATGCTAATGTGGGATCTTGTTGTAAGTGAAAGCTCATTGTTATTCAAGTCTGAAGTAGTGCCGGTACTCAGTGATGGACCGGCTTGTATTTGCGCTCAAGTAGGTTTTTTTTGCGGAGGACTATGAATGATATTTGCTCATGCTACAATTTAAGTATCTGAATTAAGATGTTACAACGACCGAGCCACGTCGGTTTTTCACTGAAGTATATTTTTGTTCATTCGTATCTATGTTAGGGTCGGTCTCAGGGTGGTATTTTTTCACTTCACTTTCCTTGGTACTTGTAGGCCACGGGCCTTTTTGTACAGACGCAATACAATTTAGGTGCAAACAGTATTAAATACAACACATTTCTTTACTTTTTTAAATGACAAAAGCAGTTTTAACATAATTGCCTATTATCAAAATTGGAGTTTTTGTGTTCTTACAGCATTGGCATAAAAAAGTATTTTGTTGTATTCATATTGATAATAGGGTCTTGCGATGACAGTAGTGTGTTAAACTTCAGAATATTTGGAAAGATGTGAAATTTAGATTCTATGTAACTTTGCCTAAGATGGCTGTAAGCTGGACAAATTAACAAAAATTGATATTCTTTTTCGAAATGGCTTAAGTTACAAACGTCACATTTTCTTGATTCACGAGGAATATTAAAATGTCGCCCACGTTCAATTTCGAAGTCGGACTCAGGGTGGTATCTACTCTTGTTTCTATCTTTTCGCCATCAGAAAATTATGTTGGTTCACCCTATGTAAACTTTCGTTTATATATTGTGGATAGACACATTCTGTGTTAAAGGCTCCTTTTATAAATACCAATCGGATGGCCAAGTCGTTTTGGGAACCGGAATTAGCTTGCAGAGTTGCGTTCCGTAGACGTAGACCAGGAAATCATGATCGTAGGTTCGAATCCCAGGTCCCCAACGATAATAACCCTAGGTTCGTACGTCAGTACGTATACACGTGTAACAAAGAGACGCACGTTACGCACTGTGTGGTGCCTCCAGTAATGGACTGATCCGGTGTGGAATGAGTGAGGCACTGTTCAAAGCAGCGTTAAACCCACTCACTAACACACAAAGCAATCTTTACGAGTACCTGGACTTTCGGAGTCCCAAAGAACAGGACCTTCCATAGTGGAAGGCCGACGATCGCTATACACAGGGTGGAATATTAGTGACCTTTTTTTATCTCGAATTCTGTAAGTTTTAACGTCGTCTCGACACTATTTGGCTTGACTCACACGGCCTCGGTTAATTTGAATACACTTCTATATTTTCCAGTTGAACGTCTTTAAGGCCCTGACGAGTTTGCTAAAAAACTGGAATATTGCTGAGTGCGGCGTTAAACAACAAACAAACAAACAAACAAGTTTGCTTGAAACACAAAGGGGGCACAGGTGGCACAGGTGGCCCAGTTGTCTGTGGCCCAGCAATTCGCTGAATTCCGTCTCTTAAGCGTGCCAGAAATCTGTGATCGTGGGTTCGAATCCCGGTTCGCCCTGATTATGTGTCTGTAGGTTTGTCAGCACCACACTCGTGCTCGTGGCTTTCACGAAGTGATACACGTCAATGGGAGGTGGGATAGCCTAGTGGTTGAAGCATTCGCTCTTCACGCCGAAGACCCGGGTTCGATTCCCGACATGGGTACAATGTGTGAAGCCCATTTCAGGTGTCTCCCGTCGTGATATTGCTGGAATATTGCTAAAAGCGGCGTAAAACAATACCCAATCACTGGTACACACGTAAAAAACCTGCCCCACTTCGGGCTTTCCTAGCTTCCACACCAAGCTGACACGCTGTGATAAAACGGCGTTAAGCCAAACTCTCACTGAAAATATAAACATGGTACAATGACTCAAGTGAGGCGTGTCCCTGCCCTTTGAGTGTCACCGTGTTCTGTAGTGTCCCCCTCTGCTTAGGACTGCAATAAATCACACGAACAACCCAGTGTCATTTATATGATCTGGGTCAGTAGAGGCCATTGTCAATACGGTCTGCTACATCACCCTGCCAATAAAAGATTTCCGGTTTTTCAGTTGCGTTGTCTTATGGACTGTTGGTTAAATCTCATCGGCGAAATCCACCGCAAGTTTGGAATTGGCGGCCATTGTGACCCCTCAGACCCGAACAGCGGGGTGTTCAGGAGGGTGGGTATAGGGGGCGTTCAGTTGGAACTGTGAGGGAGGAGTCGATGGGCGTGGTCACGTCGAGGGGCGGGGCCTAGTTGTTTTGACATGCAATATCTGCCTGTTGTTATACCTGTGATTGAAGCGGGATTATTGTAGATGTATCCGGGAATATGTCCAAATTTAAATCTGTGTTGACTGGTGGTAGTTTAAAGACAAACGACAATAGAAATACTACAATACTTTAATGATACATTATGGCGAATATATTTATGACGAAGTAGTTCATCATTATTGCATCACGACTGACTTTTGAATATAGTCTTGGGTGAATAAAGTTGTTTCGAGATTGAGAAGTTAAAAACACCCGATTCTTTTATATTACTGCTATGGCAGATTAACTTTAGTAATATGAAGGAATCAGGTGGTCTTAACTTCTTTGGAGTAGTATATATGATATAACCGACCCTTGCGAGGGACGGATTCTTGTAAATGTACATTTAGTTTCTTGTTCCATGTATCATGTCATACGATATCACTCATTCTGACAAAACTTGTACCGATCACGGATCATTTGGGACAAGTTTGTGACAAGATAGGCGACTGGTTTCAAGGTTCCAGCTGAACTGCCCCGTTTGTGTTGTGCTTGATCCTGTAGTGGCCGTAGACTGCATGTAGCTACACTGGCTTCCATCTGTCGTATCTCCATCTACACATACAACACTAACTCCATACCCCACGCCACGACGTCTTCAGTGCGGTCTCTGTCAGCGGCTGCTTACAATTAACGTCTTCATATCTTTTCTTTTGCCGCAACGTTCGTCCCCCATCTTTTTAAAAATTATTTTAGGACCCGTGAAGATCCGGGTTAGCAACCCATGCTTGTTGTAAAAGGCGACTATGCTTGTCGAAAGAGGCGACTAACGGGATCGGGTGGTCAGGCTCGCTCACTTGGTTGATGCATGTCATCGTATCCCGATTGCGTAGATCGATGCTCCTGATGTCAATTGCTGGATTGTCTGGTCCAGGCTCGATTATTTACAGACCGCCGTCTTATAACTGGAATATTGCTGAGTGCGGTGTTCAACAACAAACAAACAAATTAAATTATTACTCTAGATTTCAGCATATACCGACATGAAGTTGTGTTCTGCTGCAAGTGTGAAATGTAACGCCAGGATATAACTAACATACTGTCTACTAACCAACTGAAGTCAAAGTCACTCACTAACTCACTCACTCACTCACTCACATGAGGTTGTGTGTCATAACTTTACGATATTGCAGACGATCCTCAATGCTGGTTGGTCTGTTGAAGCGATATGATCTCACATTGCTTTAGTGTTAAGAACAATACGATAGAACGTCATCCATTGTGTGTGACGTCACACTTCGAGAACCTAACGTTGTCGGGTGCTTTTTTTATGTGCTTGACCAGAAACGTTGTTTAGTGTTTTCGCGTTGCGGTCATGAAACAGATTAGGGCGGTGGACTTGAAATATAATATCGAACAGCAAATTGTTCGGCTGATCGATAATGTCTGCCGTTGAAGCCAAAGCACCCCTGTCAGTTCTTCCTTCCGCCATGTTGTTTTGTATTTCGCGTTACGGTCAAGGTGAATGTCGCTTTCGCGCCACAGTCACGGTCGCAGCTACCCATACTCGGTCCACAGACCCGAGTTTATGAACGGCTGCCTCTGATCAAGTCGCGAAAACGTACCCCAGAACAACAGGCTGACTTCTGTGTCTCTGAACAGTTGACAGTTTATCAGCTTTTCTGTGTTTTCGTTCTTTAGGTGACAATGAGATATCTAGAATCATCAACTCGACACTCGGACTTACGGATGATGTGTCCCTCTAGAATGAATGATGTATGCCCTCGCCAATACTCTTCACTTAAACTCACTCACTCACTCACTCACTCACCCACCCACCCACCCACACCCACACCCACACCCACACCCACACCCACACCCACTGTAAGTCCACACATCACGACAGGAGGGGCCACGAGGCTACACACGCTGCTTCGTGTTCTGTTCGGAAGTTAAGTTTGACATTTTTTATAATCTATTCCACAATCTATTCCAATCTGACGGCAGGATTTGTTTTTGTTCGTTCGTCTGTAGTTTGATACGACATGCATCAACCAAGTCAGCGAGCCTGACCACTCGATCCCGTTAGTCGCCTGTTACGACAAGCATACTACAGTCATGGGTTGCTGAAGACCTATTCTAACCCGGATCTTCACGGGTACTGACTGCAGGAAGATAGAGTGACTCTGTATTCAAATTCCACCTCCTGAGAGGTTTCTAGGGCTCCTCAGGCAAGTGACTTTTTCGAAAAATGCCTCTGTTATACCATCAGTGAAAGAATAATGTGAATGATATAATACCCTTCCAGCGCCTCACAAGCAGCTTGGGTTGTATACTCCCGAGGAAGCTGAGAAAGAAATTGAATGCACATTCATTGGTCGGGGTAATACTGGTGCATGGAAACAGCGCAACACAAATGGATTATTATTATTATTATTATTACTACTTGGAGTACACCCCTGAAGGTTATTGTGCTTGTTATGTCTTGCCTAGCAGGGGTCTATGTTTATGAACACTGTTAACCTCTCAAACACAACCAGTTAAAGAAGTTATACACGGGTATATAGTCAAGTTTCCCCATGCTGTAACTAGGTTATAGGGGAACACGGGGTACTGGGTATATATAACAAGGAGTTTTACCCGTGAATAAAGACTCTCACGGTCAGCACACAGGCACATCCCTCACCAACTGTAGAAAACAGCGCCCTCTGTGTATCTACGGGGATACGGAGGACCGGTTAGGACCATTACTGCCCTGGACTAATCTATGTCGCCGAAATATAATTTAAAAATAATTCTATGACTGAACCCTCGAGTATTAAGGAACCCTAAGTCTCTTACTTCCAGAAAAAAGAGCTGAGAACGGGATGATGAAGGATGGGGCGAGTGTTGTATAAACTATATGCTGTGGGATCTGCAGCTTAATATAGTCGCCGTGGAAACAGTGATTGGCTTCGTCTTTCAGACTCACATATTCGCATGTAGACATAGATTTCTCCTTCACTCTTGCAGACCAATCAGACGCACACTCAGGATTAGGGAACTGCCCTCTGAACACGAGCAGAACTGGTTTTGACTTCGTATCCCTTTAGAACAGTCTTGTCGCGCCGATTACAGCAGAACGGTTTAAATCAGTCTGAAGTCTTGCCCATCTGCAGCGTTTCTGATATGAAAGGAGGCATGAAGTCGTTTCTATTGGTCTGTAATCCGGTGGGTAGCCTAGTGGTTTAAGCGTTCGCTCGTCACCCCGAAGATCCGGGTTCGATTCCCCAAAGGGGCGAAATGTGCGAAGCCCATTTCTGGTGCCCCCCGCCGCGATATTGCTGGAATATTGCTAACAGCGGCGTAAGGCCATACTCACTCACCCCACTGTAATCTATTACGCATCTACATACGCCTGTGTTCAGAGGTGTTTCACTTCATCCCCCTGCAGCCTCCTGAACCACTCACTCACTCATACAGCTCCGCAGTTGACTATTCAGTGTTACAGTTGCCGAATGGACACATTGATAGTCTTGTTCTGTGCACCTGTGCAGCACTCGTGGTCGTGAGTCACCTTATTCTTATTCACAACACATTTCCATTTACATAAGCACGGCTTGTATTTACACAACTGTTAATATTCTGTGACATAGTATCAAACGGCATTATTTGTCAGGGTGTCAAACTGCACTTTATGTGACAGGTTAAAAAACTGCACTTTATGTAACAGGGTGGCAAACTGCACTTTATGTAACAGGGTAAAAAACTGCACTTTATGTAACAGGGTAAAAAACTGCACTTTATGTAACAGGGTAAAAAAACTGCACTTTATGTAACAGGGTAAAAAACTGCACTTTATGTAACAGGGTGGCAAACTGCACTTTATGTAACAGGGTAAAAAACTGCACTTTATACAACAGGGTAAAAAACTGCACTTTATGTAACAGGGTAAAAAACTGCACTTTATGTAACAGGGTGGCAAACTGCACTTTATGTAACAGGGTAAAAAAACTGCACTTTATGTAACAGGGTAAAAAACTGCACTTTATGTAACAGGGTGGCAAAAGCACATTATGTGACTGGGTGTCAAACTGCACATTATTTTTCAGGATATGAAACTGCACAGTTATTCTCTATGCAACGTTGAGACACCGTTATTACATGTTGGTAGATAGTGGTGTCTGCATGTCGACCAATTTCCGATGTCAGGTTGACCACAATACACAACTATGACTAACCAGTCAACAGCAATATTCACGGCACAATTTCCTAAATTGTTATATTGCTAATAGTTGTATAATTGCACTGAAGCATTTGTCCCCCATTTGTTATAACTCATATACACCATCAATCGATAAACGTGGAATTAGCATGAGTAATATTGGATGGTCATATAACATTTATACAATGTAAAACTTCCGTTTAATACAACTGTCATATATCTGCCGATCATTTTTTGCACGTGAATCTAAACTGTCTACACACAGCTGTGTGATTGTGTATGTTGAATATATTCATAAAACTGTGTAAATTCCAACACATTGGTAGCGGTCGGGTAGCCTAGTGGTTAAAGCGTTTGCTCGTCACGCCGAAGACCCGGGTTCGATTCCCGACATTGGTACAATGTGTGAAGCCCATTTCTGGTGTCCCCCGCCGTGATATTGCTGGAATATTGCTAAAAGCGGCGTAAAACCACACTCACTCACTCACTCCAACACATTGTCCCAGTTTACACATCACGCAACAAGTTCTAGCCAGCTGAAGGTTGTCGTCATCGCTGTTCAATTCAATTCGGTTTATTTCGTAAGTGTCGGCCATCGGCCCATAGTTACCTTTGTATTACGATGGACGTGATGTACACAGCTGTTATTGTTGTGACAATAATGTACTACGAAGTGACATCGCTTGATAGATATAGATAGCTAGACGTTCAATTAATTTACAGACATAATGATATTAAATTTTTGTATGGTCGGATATTCATAAAATGTCTGTGGTAAGTGATCCATGCGTATCTTGTTATAACCGGAGCAAACTAACAAAAAATGAAACTCGTCCTCCACATACCCAGCATTACAAACACAACATAGTCTTCTGTTACGTGGGATATCAGCATATCTCCCAGTTTCAACACACAGCTGATGCGAAAAACATCTAAACCGAGCTAGCGCCACTCTCGATTTACTGACGGTCAAACAGCTAAGATACAACTCTGTACCAAACGATACCTTGAATAGAGAATACGAGAAAGATTTACTACCCTTTACCAGAAGACTATGCCAATCCTGTTCATAACTACATTTCAGACGCGACATAAATTCTGTCAAAAACGAATGAGGATGACTTATACACTGGTTTTCCCATACAGAGCCAAAACCCAAACGGAACAATAAAAATTTACATTTTGATACCCAATTAATTTTACCATTACTTTCTGCCTGAAGCATCATATAATAACATTTCTTTGGAAAGCGACAACCGGACATACTCAATAACCTTATCCAATAACCAATAACTCTTTTGTATGCATAAATATATAATAAATACCGCCTAATTCACCTCGAACCATGTTGTTGGGTGTTGACGATTTGACACCTAGAAAGCGCTTGCATGCCAATGTATGTATAGTTTCCATTTCATCATTCTGGTGTAGACCCCAGACTTCGGAACCATAAAGCAAAATTGGGACTATTTTCATATCAAATATTTTAAAATATGTCATATCGAAGAGGATGTATTTTTATCAATGACTTTAAAATTCCAAACATTGCTTTTTCCCCCTGTAGACCAGCATTAGAAAAATGACTTGACCAGGACAGGCTTCTCGTAAAAGTAACGCCCAAATATTTATAGGAGGACACACACTCCAACTTTAGACCTTTATAGTACCAAATCTCTTTTCTTGACAACACTCCGCCTTTCTTAAAAAACAACCACCTTGGTTTTATCCAAATTGACATCTAGATCATAATCATTACAATATTTTTCTAGAACATCAATACGCTTCTGAAGTCCACCTATAGTATCTGCGATTAAAATAATATCGTCTGCAAATAATAACAGGAATATCTCTATAATATTAGGATGAAGTTGTATTCCTGGTCCAGAATTCTGTTCAACTTCAGCAGCTAGTTCGTTAATAAACATCGAGAATAAAAGGGGGCTAAACACACAACCCTGACGTACTCCTCTTGGGCACTGAAACATTTCAGAAAATGTATGTTTAAATTTAACACTGGCCTTAACAGCTGTATAAATAGACCGTATAGCTTTTATCATTTTGCCAGCGACACCTTTATTAGCTAGTACTGACCATAATTTCATCCGGTTTACACTGTCGAAGGCTTTTGCAAAATCGACAAACAAACCATATACCCTACCCTTACGCTTACTAATATATCTCTGTTCACTCTTTTGTCCCCGGATGTAAGTAGGCACCTTAGGTGTCCAGAACATTGTACTGGGTGACATTGTGGTCTACCTAGCAGTCTCGTCAAACGGTATTACGTAAGGTTATGTCGGAGTTTGCCCGTCGTCGCCATCGGTGTCTTTTCTATTGTTCATCATGCAAATATTATAGTCATCTAATAGATGACATACTTTCATGGACTTCTTCCAACTTGCCTTGGAGAAATCATTTGGCACATGTCATAAGGTCAAAAGTCAAGGTCACGAGCAGGAAAATTCACAAAGCTTGTGGTCTAGAAAATATATATGCTCTTATCTGGTGTGGTATATGTCTGATCATGGATGAGGCCGTACTTTGAAAATGTTTTGATTAAGATTATTGTAAGGTCAAGGACAGCGTAAAGATGTTTTTGTAAAACATGGTTTAATCATTCTCAGTTCCTAAGGCAGGGGCGAAACTGAGGGACAGAAGCTGCACGGAGAAACAGAGAAGATCAATCTTATTGTCAGAAGGTTCAACCTTCGCTGTGACAGTTGCAGGACCTGCAGGAAGCCGCCATCAATGTTTCACTGGGGCTCGTCTGACGATGCGATAGTTTGGTTGTCGGAGGATGACGTGTTGTTGTGGGCAATAATCCTGACCTCGTTACACAAGGCACGGGCAGAGACAGACCGTGACTTGTAAATAGTGATGAAAACACACACAGCTAAATAATATTTATTTGTGTGTTTGTTTGTTTTTTAACACCTCACTCAGCAATATTCCAGCTATATGACGGCGGTCTGTAAATAATCAAGCCTGGACCAGACAATCCAGTGATTGATATGAGCATGCATCAACTAAGTCAGCGAGCCTGACCACCGGGTCCCGTTAGTAGCATGATTTTGCGGATGTTATAGTATCAGGTCTGTGGAGCTGAGTGATTGGTGTAACAAACAGTGAGTGAGTGAGATAGGTTTAACGCCGCTTTTAACATTATTCCAGTTATATAAAGGCATGTCAGCCCGAAGTGATGCAGGTCTCAGACGTTTACCACTTCGGTGAAACCCAAGAGCACGGGTATGGTGCTGACAAACCTAGAAACATAATCGGGCGAACCCACAATCATAGGTTTCTGGCGTGCCCAAGGGACGCAACTCTGCACAGCGAATCGCGGCGCCTTTGACGACTGGGCCACCCGTGCCCCCTGTAACAAACAGCGTGCTACCTGGGATCTGACACAGAAAATGCGTCTGTCTACAAGGCGTGGAGCAAGGGGGTAATTGTCAGTCCTGGCAAACTCGGAATCAGTCTTCCTACTTCCCCGCCTGCTTCCTCCAGCTGCATTATCCTCATCAGTGATAACCAATTACCCTAATTACTTGGCGAACACAATGTACCGTACACATCCTAAAGTGGCAACAACATACGACAGCTGAACTTAGACCTTCATTAACGACTCACTAAGACCTGAGCCAGCTGGCAACCCTAGCTGGTTTTATTCGGGTCAATAAAACCCTAATAGTGTATGGAGTGACAATAAAACCCTAATAGTGTATGGGGTGACTCAAATTTAGGATGAATATTATGAGTGAGTTTTCTGGTGCTTTCAGGAATATTCTTACCATATCACGCCGGGGACACCAGAAATGTTCTTCACGGAATCGAACCCAGGGTTTCGGCGTGACGAGCCAAAGCTTTAACCACTGGGCTACCCCATCGCCCCGGTTGCTTGATATACACTGAGACACACGGGCACTAAATAATACGTCTAGCCTTGCCGTGGGCACTAAATAATACGTCTAGCCTTGCTGTGGGCTCTAAATAATACGTCTAGCCTTGCTGTGGGCTCTAAATAATACGTCTAGACCTAGACTTGGTATGGGCTCCATATCCCTGAACATGGACCCGTTCATGGAAATATGATGCTTCAAGGTCATTTAGTGTAATTGCGCCTTATAATTAAGGTCAGCCGTGGAGGTCCGGGTTAGAATTGGCCCTCAGCAACACGTGCTTGTCGTAAGAGGTGACTAACGGGATCGGGTGGTCAGGCTCGCTGACTTGGTTGATGCATATCATCGTATCCCAATTGCGAAGATGTATGATCATGATGTCAATCACGGGATTGTCAGGTCCAGACTCGATTATCTACAGACCGCCGTTATATGACGGGGATGTTGCTGGCGGCGTTAAACAAACAAACAAACAATCAAACATCATGACATGAGACCTAACTGATGGCATATTGGCCGCCGTGTTGCTACATACACAGTACGTGAGGCCACCAGCTGTGTGGCTAGCAGAGATCTTGTAACGCTGTTGGTTGTATCGATTTCCCCACGCGGTCTGTATCCGGACATAAGGAGATTCTTTACATTAATACGGTGTTATATAACAACCCAATTATGTACGTGACTCACAGCTGGAGCCACAGCGAGATCAAATCTTAGTCTGATGTTGAACAACACAATGTCAGTTAAAGGCGCAGTTCACCCTTTGGTGCAAAAACGTTTAGTTTAAATGGAACCACACCTACATGTAGTGAGAACTTAGAACTTAGGACTTCATAAAATAGTTCATACAGCGAGTGAGTTGGTGAGTCATTTGCTGACCCACTGTTACCATGGTAGCGAGTGAGTGAGTGTCCTGTAATGTTTCATAATTCCTGAAGACACAATCTCGTCTACCAATTATGGTCTCATCATGGCGATAGGCGTGCAAGATTCCTTAGATCGTGGGTTCGAATCAAAGAGTCGCCGAGGCAATGTTTCTTTGTTTATCGGCACCACATCCATACTTGTGGAATATACCGAAGTAGTTTTGTCTATCGCATAACGCGTGCCACCCAATTTAACTTTAAGCTGCGATGTACTGAAATACCACTCAAACAACTCACTCGGTCACGAAGACATCTGTTGCGGTGAATGTTTTCACAGTGATGCCATGCATTGCGGTTTGCAATTGAATCGAAAGACACAAAATGGTTGTTTGGTTAACTGAGGTCAAAGGTCTAACACCCCCAGTAGCGCTTCCTCCTAGTGTACACCTGCTACTAACCTGCATGTACCTTGTTCCTTCGATTCTTTGTATAAGTTTTCCGTCTTGTTTGCTTTTATTATTTCTTTTTTCCGAGTCCTTTTCTTTAAATTAATGTAATGACCCTTTTGAACTTTCATTCAGAATACTGTATTAACACAGACGTTATATGTGCATAGGGGTCACCTGTACGCACAAGGGTCGTTGTTTGGACATTTTACTGCCGCTTCTCCGCGCACCTGTTCCCCCTGACATAATGTCCACGTTCAAGTGTCGTCATCTGATTTGTTTGTTTGTTGCAGGTGGTCTTCCCAGAAACAGATCAGGCAGAATGGCTGAATAAGGTAGGCCAGCTGACGTAACACAAGTTCAGCAACACACGAACTTCTCTCATGTCGTATCTCCTCTATTAAGAGCTCTTGGACGTGTTATCTCAAGTTAACTGTTAAAGCCGGCTCGCCACCCGGCCCTTTTTTCCTTCGTATCTAATACCGGAAGTGACGTAAATGGACACTTTTGTTCAGTTAGTTTTGTTATTCAAATTAAAGGGGAGAAATCGTAACTGACAAGGTCAACACTCTTCCAACATTCAGCTCCTAACAGAGGAAGTGCGGCAATCCTGAAGCCTGCCATTGTAAGGCATTCCTCAAATTGTCAGTACTCGGATCTAGGTCTGTGTTCATTAAAACGGTTGCTAGGACACAGACTGTGTATGATATTTTCCTAATGTCCTGTTATGGATACTCTTACTCAATTAAATGTAATGAAATACAGACTTCTTCAGCTAAAAGGGAAGCTTTATATCTACTTTAACACTATTATGTGAAGACCGCCTGTAAATATTCCCCGTGGGAGCAGGGTAAAAACAGTACCTTGTTCAATCACAGCATCTCGATATGGCTGGACCATGTAGGACTGGGATGTTTGCCGAGAAGCAAACCAACAAACACTGGGCATCAGGATCGCCGTTGATTGTTGATTGTCTGACTTCGGTGACATCAGGGATTGTTATATTATAACTACAGCTGTTGATTGTCTGACATCAGAATTCTAGGCACTATGGGATTGTTATATTATAACTACAGGTATTGATTGTGTGACTTCAGATCATCCAGCAACTATGGCCGTTTATCGGCGACTTCATGGGCGACATCTTGAAGCAGCACGTGGAGCCCAAGGTGAAGGAAGCGGTCATGTCGTCCTTCACCTTCAGCAAGGTCGACATGGGCACCAAGGTCAGTTCATTTGACAGAAGGGAATGAGAAAGTTAATATCACCATTCTGTTGTGAGTTAAATTGGATGAGTGGGTGAGTGGATGGGTGGGTGAGTGAATTGGTCAGAGGGGGTGTGGGTATGTGAGTGGGTAGGTGAGTGAGTGGGTGGTTGAGTGAGTTGGTCGGTGAGTGAGTGGGTGAGTTAGTGGGTTAGTGGGCAGGTGAGTGAGTGGGTGGGTGAGTGGGTAGGTGAGTGAGTGAGTGGATGAGTTTGTGGGTTATTGGGTAGGTGAGTGAGTGGATGAGTGGGGGGGTGAGTGGGTTTGAGTGAGTGGGTGGGTGGGTGATTATGGATGGGTAGGTGAGTGGGGTGAGATGAGGTGAAATGGGGTTTAACGTCACTTCCAAGATTCTTGCACTTATAAGCAATGTTCATGCAAGTGTGTGTGGCTGCTTGTACTAGTCCGGACTAAAGAGGATTTATAGTGCTAGCACACTGAGATGCAGCAGTTTAACATGAATACCCCACCCAGACACGGTATACTGATTCTGAGCCGATTAGTCCTTGTTTTAGCCCCTTAATGCTGAGCATCAGGCAGGGTGAAAACAAGTACCATCTTTTAACATCTTTTGGTTAAAAGATTGGCCAGGGATTGAACCCTGGACCCACCGCTCTCTGGGCGGACGCTCTACCACTAGTGCGGTTGAGTTGGGTGAGTGATTGTAGTCATGAATAATTTTCTCACAAATTTGTTGACTTTGGTAAAACGGAAATACTATTTAACGGAAAACAGTTTACCAGCAAACTGCCTGTTTCAGCCCCTGCGGGTGGATGGAGTGAGAGTCTACAACATCAGACAGGGAGAGATCTACATGGACCTCGATATCAAGTAAGATCACAATACATGCATGTTTATGAATAAAACGAGTCATACTTGATGCTAACGTTAAATCATAAACCTAAATGCGCCAGTGTACCTGAATCGTCTTTGTCGACCACGGAGTGAACCAGTCTTAAAACAGTCTTGAGGTGTCCTGGTCAATTCTCGTCACAATATGGCTGAAATATTGCCGATGTGGCGTAAAATATTAACTCACTCACTCCTGGTCAATTGATTATAAGTCCGCAGTCACAAGTTTTTGTTTGTTTGTTTGTTTGTTTGTTGTTTAACGCCGCACTCAGCAATATTCCAGCTATATGACGGCAGTCTGTAAATAATCGAGTCTGGACCAGATAATCCATTGATTAATATCATGAGCATCGATCCACGCAATTGGGATAGATGACATACATCAACCAAGTCAGTGAACCTGACCACCCGATCCCGTGAGTCGCCTCTTACGACAAGCATAGTCGCCTTTGACGGCAATCATTGGATCTTGACGGTACGCTGTCACAAGTACCGATATAGCCATTGTGATGTAACCAGCTGGTAGGTCCAGGTCATGACCCAATTATATATCTCTTGTTTACTAGTTCAGTGTATGTATGACGTTGTCAAGATTCACAATGACTTTCCACGCGTGTTTCAGCTATGATGGCGACGCTGACATTGACGTCGGCCTCCTGGTGTCTAACGCCGCAGGTATCAAACACATCAAGGTAGGTTATCTCTTTGTCTTACCTAATTTTCGTCTTTGCTGCTTTGAAAACTGTAAGATGAGTTTGAGTGCATCTCCCATACCCTGAATGTAATGATTGACGTCTATCATGGCATAAACAAACTGTCGTTGAATCCCGGTTGATCTCGTGTGAATTTTTCAAAAGCACATGTATAAGTATAATATATCGTTTTACCCATCAAATGGTGATCTGTGTTCATCAGATTGGGATGGCCTCTGTGGTCTAGTGGTAGAGCGTCTGCCCGGAGAGTGGAAGGTCTGGGTTCAATCCCCCGCTGCGTCATTCCAAAAGCTGTTAAAAGATGGTACTTGTTGTTACCCTGTCTGGCGCTCGGCATTAATGCAGTAAACAAGGGCTGGTCGGCTCAAAATCAGTATACCGCTAAACTGCGACATGGGCTAGCACTTTAAAATCGGCATCTGTCTGGACTAGTACACACAGACACACACACACACGTCCCTATATAAGTGAAATAATCTTGGACGCTATGTTAAACCCCATTTCACTCCCACCTCATCAGATTGGCCTTTAGTTCTTGACCCTGCATGTTACAAGCTGTCAATGTATTCCTATAACAACACGTCATGTGATCATGTTCCCCCACAGCTGTCGGGGACGCTGCGCGTGGTGTTGAAGCCCCTCCTCAGTGCTGCACCCCTCGTGGGAGGCGTCTCCTTCTTCTTCATCACAAACCCGGTGAGACTATGGCGATTTTGAAATATCGGAAACAATATCGATTACTATGATAATCATCTAACCTTTACGGTGGCCCAAAAGGGATATGGAGAGACAATTAACACGATTTGTCATACATTATGTGATAAATCATGTATAAAGAAGATATTGAATCGCTGAAAAGTGAAGCGAAAATGTCAAAAACTAAAATGAAATGTCAAAAACAAAAACGAAAATATCAAAAACAAAAGCAAAAATGTCAAAAACTAACATGAAAATACGGAAAACTATTTCTACCGCGGTGAAAATATTCCCACCGCAGTGAAAACTATTGATGCATGTGATTGTATCCCAGTTGCGTGGATTGATGCTCATGATGTCAATCACTGGAGTGTTTGGTCCAGAATCGATTGTTTAGAGATCGCCGTCATATATCTGGAATATTGTGTGGCATTAAACAACAAACAAACAAACTAATACACCTTAAGGGAGTGTCACGGTGTATACATGGAGAATCTCACGCGAGTGTCTTTTGATATGAAATATATAAACGAGTGTTGATATATTTGATATCAAGAGACACAAGGGTGAGATTTTATTTATCATCCAACATCATTCTTCCAACTTCTTCAATTTGTAGACAGTAATAAGCAGTGTCTTAAGTGTAAAAAGAACTACTAACAGCTTCAGTAGCAGAGCCATTAATGATGTCATTTGATTCTAACGTCATGAAAAAGCGGCGTAAAACCATACTCTCTCACTCACTCACTCACTAACGTCATGGTGACAATGACGGCACAATCGTCTACAATGTAAATATCGCTTGATGTCACCCAAGCGATATCTCCTGTGGGAGCTAGTTTCGGATGATAAATAATATGTAAGTCGGCCTCATGTCACAAGGGGGCGGTCGCATAGCCTAGTGGTTGAAACGTTTGCTTGTCATGCCGAAGGCCCGGGTTTGATTCCCGACATGGGTACAACGTGTGAAGCCCATTTCTGGTGTCCCTGATCGGGATATTGCTGGAATATTGCTTAAAGAGGCGTAAAACCAAACTCATTCACTCACTCATGTCACAAGGTGCACGCTAGGGCTGCGTTTCGCAATGCCTTAGCGATAAATTGTCTTAAGTCTATGTTTGAGTATTTGAGTTTCGACAGCAGGGTAACTTTTAACAAAGCTATCCTAATGCTAGGACTATCGTAAGTCCCATACTGTAACATGGACTTACAATCATCGTAGAGATGTGAGATTGCTTTATGTAACGGGGCCGGAAACAATTTAATTTTACAGAATCTGGATTTCGACCTGACGAACCTGGCCAACATCATGGACATTCCAATGTTCAAGTAAGTGCGATATGGCTACATTGTTACTCCAGCTGTCACGAACAGGTGCCATTTAATAGTCCGTATGTTCCTGACTAATACCAATATGACACGGCCACGACCTGTTGTTATAATTCATGTGTGAAAGACGTAGCATGCAAGATAGCCATGAGTATCCCTCTATACTGAGTTGCTGACTGTCAGTACATGTCTGTCTCCAGTTCCAAGCTTCACGCCATCATCCAGGGCCAGCTGTCCAACCTGCTGGTGTTCCCCAAGAGGATGGAGTACATCATTGGAGAGGGGACTAAGTTCTCCAAGTTACGCTGTCCTCGCCCGCAGGTATGTCCTCCAAGTTAGTCTGTCCTCCCCCGCAGGTATGTTCTCCAAGTTACGCTGTCCTCCCCCGCAGGTACGTTCTCCAAGTTACGCTGTCCTCCCCCACAGGTATGTTCTCCAAGTTAGTCTGTCCTCCCCCACAGGTATGTTCTCCAAGTTAGTCTGTCCTCCCCCGCAGGTATGTTCTCCAAGTTAGTCTGTCCTCCCCCACAGGTACGTTCTCCAAGTTAGTCTGTCCTCCCCCGCAGGTAGGTTCTCCAAGTTACGCTGTCCTCCCCCGCAGGTAAGTTCTCCAAGTTACGCTGTCCTCCCCCACAGGTATGTTCTCCAAGTTACGCTGTCCTCCCCCACAGGTATGTTCTCCAAGTTACGCTGTCCTCGACCGCAGGTATGTTCTCCAAGTTACGCTGTCCTCCCCCACAGGTATGTTCTCCAAGTTACGCTGTCCTCCCCCACAGGTACGTTCTCCAAGTTACGCTGTCCTCGACCGCAGGTATGTTCTCCAAGTGACGCTGTCCTCGCCCGCAGGTGTGTTCTCCAAGTTATGCTGTCCTGAGTGTCCTCGTTCATTTGTAGGTTGTCTAAGTTAAATAAAGAGGCATGCCTTGTTGTTTTTTCCAATTTTATCAACTCATGTTGATATATTTGATATCAAAAGACACAAGGGTGAGATTTTATTTATCATCCAACATCATTCTTCCAACTTTTTCAGTTTGTAGACAGTATTAAGCAGTGTCTTAGTGTAAAAATCACTGCTAACAGCTTCAATAGCAAAGTCATTAGTGATGTCATTTTAATTGTGACGTCATGGTAACCAATGACGTCGCAATGGTCTGCAGAGCATGGTGATGCAATTTCATTGCAGCGATATCTAGAATGTAGATCTCACCAAAGCAATAACTCCTGTGGGAGCCAGGTTTGGATGGTAAACTCTTCTCCCATGTAGGTACGCTCTACAAGTTAAACTGTCCTCGTTGCCTGACATTGTGAAGAAATAACAGGCCTCTGTCTGGTTGTCCACATCCATATCGCCACTTTAACATTATTTACGCATATGCAGGGCGTGCTGGCAATACACGTGAAGGAGGCCAAGGAACTCCGGGACGCCGATGGAATTGGAATATCAGATCCATATGCACAGGTCAAAGGTCAGTTAAGTTATTTTGAAGGAAGTTACCCTGTTATTCTGTTGTTTGAAGACATACTTGTCATGTGTGTTTGAGACTTGGGACGTGTATGCGAGACTTGTCCCGTGTGTGTGAGACTTGTGTCATGTGCGTGTGTTTAAATCATCCCACTATATTGGTAAAATACTCCATTTCCCTATCAGAGGAAGCATGCACACATAACTATTGATGGCTGCTGGATCCCAGTAGTACATGTTTGTGAATGCTTTGAGGGGTCTGCAGTTATGCCCTGTTCTTCCCGCAGTTGGCGACCAGACGTTCCTGACAGCGACCCTTGAGAACAAGAAGGACGCCAAGTGGGACCAGAAGTTTGATGTAAGTTTTTGTTTCCACTAGTGATGGTCCCCCAGGGGTGTTCTCCTTGTGATGCTTCCCTTTTGATGTTGGGGCGGTTGGGTAGCCTAGTGGTTAAAGCGTTCGCTCGTGACAAAGAAGACCCAGGTTTGATTCCTGACATGGGTACAATGTGTGAAGCCCATTTCTGGTGTCCCCCACCGTGATATTGCTGGAATATTGCTAAAAGCGGCGTAAAACCATACTCACTCACTCACTCACTTTTGCTGGTGATGTTTCCTTAGTGACGTGCCTCTTGAGATGTTCTGACTCTCGCGATGTTCTGCTTGTAAGGTCCTCCTGGGTGTATGGAGGTCTAACAATGGGTACTTTGTGTTCAATGATCTTTCAATGATCTTTCCATGATCTTTCAATGTACGTGTTACTGTTAAGGCAGTCCTAGGCAATTAATAATTTTGCATAAAGACAACATTGCGTCACTTTTCCTTGCACAAAATGCATGTTCATGAGCCAGTGAATTCCTGGCTGAAAATGAACTGCAACAATAGCATGACGTCATCATAATGTTTTTTAATCAATACATCATTTACAATGACGGATGAAGTAGATATCCCATTCTTTAGATCCCATTGACGACTGCCGCTGTGTTGTAGGCACTTGTGGACCTGGCGGAGGAATGTCTGGAAGTGAGGGTGATGGACCACGACACAGTGGGCAGCGACGACCTCCTTGGAACGTCAGTAACGTCACACCACACTATCGTGTATTACCCAGCGGCACCTGCCGTGCACAGAGCTTGTCTACTTCTATAAGTTTACATGCTTTATTAATATATTTGTCAAGGTACTTTCGAATATTTTATGGTCTTTAACAAGGCTATGGGACATCTTGTTCAGCTGGTATGACACATATGCGAGGGTCGTCAACCGTTGATCGATGCTCATGATGGCAATCTCTGAATCGTTTTGTCGAGACTCAGTTGTTCGAATACCGTTGAAATATAGCTTTAATAGTACTGAGTGTGGCGTTAAACAACACACAAACAAATCGTAACGTTGATGTTTGTTTATGTCCACAGTGCTACGGTTCAGATATCCCGTGTGATCGAGGCAGGCAAGGTGGAGGAGGTAGGTGTTGCACTACAGGGACACCAGGTCCCAGACTTTACACAGATATTGCTCAAGCCACAGTCCAGTGTAATGTAACATCAATCCATATAAACCAAACCAAACAGACATCATTCTTGCTTGGTGCCTATCTGTTCTGTTGATGGCAAGATTTGTGGTGCAGCTGTCCAGGATGTAATCTGTCAACATGTCGCGTGCATCGGTAGCCAATAACAAACCGTGTTTCTACCTCAGTGGTTCCCCCTGGAGGGCGTGGATCAAGGCAGCATCAACTTGGCGCTCCAATGGTTCTACCTGGCCAACGACGCATCGATGCTGCAGAAGGTAGGGATTTTACTGGAGCTTCATTTGTAGACCTGAACTTGGAGATGCATCTTAGAATGGTTCCCACTTAATTATCTTTGTTAACTTTGGTGACATATTCTTCTAGAATTGATTAATAATGAATCATTCTGAATTTTTAACTTTCTACATCTACTTTATGGAACAAGGCACCCTGTGATTGTTTACACCCCAGCGTGGTACAGCTGTAATAACTCTGACTGCAGCTTTGAGAGTCCATCACTCACCCGTGGACAGTGCATTACAGGCACGTGGGCTCCCAAATAAAGACAGAGTCCACAGATTGAAAATGTGATTGAGTGTTGGTTGAGTGCACCATGTTACTTATATGTGTCACCCCTCAGTGGTCTAGTGGTAGAGCGTGTGCCAGGAGAGCGCAATTTCCAGGGTTCGATCCCCAGTCGTGTCATAACAAAATATGTTAAAATATGGTATTTGTTGTTACCCTGCCTGGCACTGTGCATTAAGGGGCTAAAACAAGGACTGGTCGGCTCGGAGTCAGTATACTGTATCTGAGTGGGGTATTCATGTTAAACTGCGGCATGGTATCTCAGTGGGCTAGCACTATAAATTCAGCATTAGTCCGGACTAGTACAAGCAGCCACAGACACTCACATACACACGTGCATGCGACCCGTGAAGATCCGGAGTAGAATAGGTCTTCAGCAACCCATGCTTGCCGTAAAAGGCGACTATGCTTGTTGTAAGAGGTGACTAACGGGATCGGGTGGTCAGGCTCGCTGACTTGGTTGATGCATGTCATCGTATCCCAATATCGTGGATTGCTGCTCATGATATTAATCACTGGATTGTCTGGTCCAGGCTCGATTATTTATAGACCGCGTCATATCGCTGGAATATACAACAAACCAACCAACACACGTGCATGCACATCGCTATATAAGAGCAATAATCTTGGAGGCTCGACGTTAAACCCCATTTCACCTCACCTACTTATGTATGTTACTTATGAATGTTACTTATCTATGTTTCTTTTATATGTTACTTGTGTATGTTACTTATATATTACCTATATATGTTACTTATATATGTTGCTTATGTATGTTACTTATATATGTTGCTTATATATGTTACTTATGTATGTTACTTGTGTATGTTACTTATATATGTTGCTTATATATGTTACTTATGTATGTTACTTATATGTTACTTATATGTTTCTTATATATGTTGCTTATGTATGTTACTTATATGTTACTTATATATGTTACTTATGTATGTTACTTATATGTTACTTATATGTTTCTTATATATGTTGCTTATGTATGTTACTTATATGTTACTTATATGTTACTTATATGTTTGTGTCTTGCAGGAGGGGGAATGTCGGCGGTGCCTCCTGATGGTGAGTGTGGACTCTGCTAAAGGATTACTGGTGAGTACAAGGATCGCTTCTGTTGTCTGTTGAGTAGCTAATAACAAGTCCTTGTTCTCAAAAGTTTGCTTATGACCGTAACTCCCACACATCGATTTACGACAGTCTCAGCGCTGAGATCGCTTCGTGAAGGGGCGTCAAGTCATGAATGGCAGGTTGATATGGTTTCATTGTTCTTGGTCCCGGTCTATCAAAGCGATATTGGTGCAACGAGTGTCGTAACTCCAGTTCTTTAACACAGACGTAGTATAAAGCCATGACCCTGGTCTCGACAGTGATTTTGGTACGGTTGATTCGCTGTGCAGAGTTGTGTCCCTTAGGGGTACCAGGAACGTATATGATTGTGGGTTCGAGTACCCAGTTTCGCACTGATTATGTTCTGATTTGTCAGCACTGTGGGTTTTACCAAAGTGATTGACGTCTAAGAGCGGCAACTATCAGTGTTAAACCAAACTCACCTACACTGCATATGGCAATGACGTGTTATTTCTACTGGAAGCCATTACCGCTGTTATGTTCCAACTACTGTTTGCAGAAACCTGACCAGAAACCAGAAGATGTGTCTCCCGTTGTGAGCCTGTCGTTCATGGAGCAGGAGTTTACGAGCACCGAGGCCGCCGCCGCACCGGAACCCTCGTGGCAGGAGGACTTCCGGTTCCTGGTCACATGCGCAGGAGAACAGAAGCTGACGCTGAAGGTTTGAACTGTGCATCCATGTAGATCCATGTCCATCCATATTTGGAAAAGGTGGAAATAGGTTTTGCTGGTCACGGAAAATAATACATTTTGAATTGCATTAAATGATTTTCGAATATTCGTATGTGTGTGCATCTTACTGCTGTTCAATTGGACCAGTGGAGATCTGGGTTAGAATAGGTTTTTCATGAGCATCGATCCACTTTTATCAACGAGTGTGGATCAATACAGTGGATAGACTTGTCCAGACCGCCGTTGTATAGCTGGAATATTGCTAACTGCGGGGTTAAACAACAAACAAACGAACGAACCAAACGAACACGTCTCTAGAGAGACAGACTTTATATTTGTCGTCTGCTCCAGGTGAAGGACAGCAAGGAGGACATAGCCTACGGAACTGCTGAGATCGACATCAAGGATCTGATTGGTGCTCCTGACATGGTCCTCGACCAGTCATATCCCCTCGTCACAGAGATAGAGGGAATCACGCCAGAGCTGAAAATGAAACTGGTTCTTAGGGTATGTCTACATATAAAATGTCATTGTAAAAAAATAACCAGTCTCTACTATCTGCCGACTCAGATTCCATTTGGCGTAAAAGGCAAAATGGAAGTTAAAATTTTATGAATGGATCACTGAAAAGATGGTAAGGGTGGTAAGGGTAAGCTTGTCCTGTTCTACCGGAAGTGCATGACAGATGCACGACAAACATGACAACGCATGACAAACATGACAAACGTACGACAAACACACAACAAACATACGACAAACACATGACAAACGCATGACAAACACATGACAAATGCATGACAAACACATGACAAACGCACGACAAACATACAACAAACACATGACAAATGCATGACAAATGCACAATAAACACTCGACAAACACACGACAAACACACGACAAAGGCACGACCAACTTTTAGTGCTCTGTTATTTATACAAGGGGCTTCAAACAAGTTTACATTTTGTCAACAGTATTTGAATGAAGCAGACGTGTGTCCCTTGCTAACACTGTTGTGAAAGCTGATGGCATGACTAAATCAATTGTACTTCAGGTGCTGACACCAGACACAGATCCAAGATGGCTGGCAGACAGCTTCCACTGAGTCTTCAGACATCTTCCACTGAGTCTTCAGACAACTTCCAGTCTACAGTCGAAGTCTGCCCAGTGTAAGGCATGAGGCGTCACGTGATGCCCGTGTGACGCAGGAATATTCTTCCATTTCTAGTTTATGTAAACGATGCATGGGTTGGGCCTACGTAGAGGACAGTGTCAATGATTGATCTTTTGTCTGGTTCTCATGGAAACAGGCGGAATCTGTCCCGCGTTGGTCTTGTTGGTGGAAGATATTGAGAGGACTTCTGGTCCTGATGGTGAATCTGTCCGAGATAAGTGATTATTTCATTTATATCATGGGTCATTATTTTAAAGTTCCAAAGTTGTTGTTTTATATTATTTATAAATATTTTGACGATCTTTCTATGCTAGATATACATGGTGTTGTGTTTCCTCGTGATTTGTTTGAACTGAATGCTTGTTTTACACAGCGCATAATTACCACACCTGATTGTCAAACTGCCATAATCAAGAAAGTATTATATTTATGAATATTATCTAAATAAACAACGTGGTATGACAAGAGCATTTTTGATCTTCTAGATGTGTCAATGTTTTAGATCACCCACAATGCTAAAATATTGTAATGAAAGTTATCAGACATATTATATAACAAGCTCATAAACTTTCCTTTGTATTGCTTTTTGTACTTGTTTTTGTCAAGTAAAGAAATATGGCTAAAATGAGTGAAAAGGTCATTTTCTTGAAATTCATACAATGAGTCTTGACCAAGATGACTGTTTTGCAGTGTGTTTGTACTGTTTCTACCTAACTGTAAGCAATTCAACATCAAATATTAAAAAATAACTTCCTGGAAACCTTTTTGACACACTTTTGCCGAAACTCTACATTTAATGCTAAGTATTATAAAGAAATAAAGTTTGGCAAATACATGCGAAGTTTGCTAACTTTTATGGCCATGTATAGGATGCTGTGTTGCATATGGGTGATGCAGATGGACCAGAGCGCCAGCAGCTTACCTTGTCCTTTGAACAAAACACTGATGATACTCATATCATATACACCTGCCATTCTTTGTGGACACAATGCTGGTTTGTGTGTTAAATATTTATATGTAACAGTTTACACAATACTCCATGCGTGTCAGTATTTTAGTATTGTTATCTTTGTTAAGAATTTTAATGTATTTTATTCTTCCATTTTTCTTTCTTTAAGACTGTGTGAATCTTGCATGCCGTTGACGTAATGACGGCGATATCTCCATGGACCCAGCTGTCTAGAGTCAGGGCCTTGTATACGTGATACATTCATACTAGGAAGATTGATGTTAGCTTTACTTACCGAACCAAATGTACCAAGGGCTTCTTAGTAAACTTATCATAGGATGATATTTGAGTTGTGAAATATGAGGATACCAATCTGTAGGTGTTGTGGGGGTGCGACAGTGAAAATCTCGGATAGCTTTTGATAGTTCAAAACGGTTTAAGATATTATTAACATGTCGATGTAATAACGATAAATAGTTTTAATGCTGCTGATGATGATAATAATATTATTAATAGTAATAATGGTGATAAGACCTATAACAAATATAAGAACACTAATACTTATAACAGCTATTACAGCACCAGTAATATATATATGGTAGGTTGATATAAGGGTTATCATGAGGTGGAAATATTCACATATATCCATACGGATTATGTTTTTGGCTACCTGTTAGTATAAAATCTCGTAGCTGTGCTACTTTGTCGACTCCTGCTGACTTATATTTGTTATGAGACGGCACTCTGTGACTCTCTACGGACATATATTTGTTATTAGATGGCACTCTAACTCTCTATGGACATATATTTGTTATTAGATGGCACTCTAACTCTCTACGGACATATATTTGTTATTAGATGGCACTCTAACTCTCTACGGACATATATTTGTTATAAGACGGCACTCTGTGACTCTCTACGAAGATATATTTGTTATTAGACAGCACTCTGTGACTCTCTACAAAGATACATTTGTTATTAGACAGCACTCTAACTCTCTACGGACATATATTTGTTATTAGATGGCACTCTAACTCTCTACGGACATATATTTGTTATTAGACAGCACTCTGTGACTCTCTACGAAGATACATTTGTTATTAGACAGCACTCTGTGACTCTCTACGGACATATATTTGTTATGAGACGGCACTCTGTGACTCTCTACGGACATATATTTGTTATTAGACGGCACTCTGTAACTCTCTACGAACATATATTTGTTATGAGACGGCGCTCTGTGACTCTCTACAGACATATATTGGTTATTAGACGGCACTCTGTGACTCTCTACGAAGATACATTTGTTATTAGACGGCGCTCTGTGACTCTCTACGAAGATACATTTGTTATTAGACAGCGCTCTGTGACTCTCTACGGACATATATTTGTTATGAGACGGCACTCTGTGACTCTCTACGGACATATATTTGTTATGAGACGGCACTCTGTGACTCTCTACAGACATATATTGGTTATTAGACGGCACTCTGTGACTCTCTACGAAGATACATTTGTTATTAGACAGCACTCTGTGACTCTCTACGGACATATATTTGTTATGAGACGGCACTCTGTGACTCTCTACAGACATATATTGGTTATTAGACGGCACTCTGTGACTCTCTTTACATACATATATTTGTTATTAGACGGCACTCTGTGACTCTCTTTACGGACATACATTTGTTATGAGACGGCACTCTGTGACTCTCTTTACATACATATATTTGTTATGAGACGGCACAGGCCTGCTGTGTTGTTGAAGCATTACTGGCTGACGTGCAATGCTCTGATTGTAATTTGTGATGTCTTACACAGATTACCGTCTTGTGGTGGAGATTTCCCATACCTCGTGGTAGCCTAGGAGACGCCCCGGGGCCGGGTTAGAGTGGGTCCCCCGCGCAGTGCTGCTGGGAGTAAGCGGTGACTAACACGGGTTGGGTGCTCAGATTCGATAACTGGGCAGTTTGCGTGGAATATTGCCGACAGCCGAATGCTTTTCCCACTCTGCTGTTTCCACGACTGTTCTCGTTGCGTGCCTTGTGACACTGTCACTCATTATCGTGATGGCTGATTGCGAACATTGATATTTTATTTTATATTTTAAACAGCAATACTTTTATCAGAATATGAGAGATTGTGGTTTTACTTTTATCTGTTTTCTTGTGTTGAAGAAAATAAAATTGTACTTCATGGTTTTGTTTTGTTATGTCTATCATCTAAAACTGCCTTCCACAGGAGATATCACTCCGTGGAGATATCACTGACGGCTATCTTAATGATACAATCAAATGACATCCCAATTAAACCTCAGAGTTTTACATGTTAGACTGTTGATATGTTTGATATCCAAACACACCTGGTGAGATTCTCTAGTTCTGCGAAAAAGGGAAGAATAACTCCCCTCATGTTCCCATGGAGTCTGGCGTTATAACGGGGTTTCAGTAAGTGAGTGAGTGGGCCTAACGCCGCTTTGAACAATCTGGCATTATTCTTGCATGGCAGCTTGATGTGCGAGGGGCTCCAGAGGGTGAGTTTGGTGTCAACGGGCACGGGGTGGTGGTGACAGGCCTGGAACAAATACCCCTCCCTGGGTGGGCGTCAGCAGTGATGGTTCATCCAGGGTCAGCACCACACCAGTGAGTTGTTTTCATGCTGTATGAGACACTGGGTACAATCAAACCTGCGTTCTTCACGTCCACATTGCTGGTTGTCCCAGTATCTTGAACAGCCCGATAGCCGGTATTGATCTGACTGAATCCCCTAACACGGAATTCATGTAACTCTTGATCACGTTTTTTGTGTGGTAATAACGTCCTAGACGCTGTTATGCGACGCAAATCGACTGCCGGTAACTTTGTAGAAGAAACAGCGTCCGGGACTCCCCCACACCAACCCCCACACCAACCTGAACACACCTACACCAGCCCGAATACACCTACACCAGCCCGAATACACCTACACCAGCCCGAATACACCTACACCAGCCCGAATACACCTACACCAGCCTGATACACCTACACCAACCTGACTACACCTACACCATCCTGAATACACCTACACCAACCTGAATACATCTACACCAACCTGAACACACCTACACCAACCTGAACACACCTACATCAACCTGAATACACCTACACCAACCTGAATACACCTACACCAACCTGAATACACCTACACCAGCCTGAATACACCTACACCAGCCTGAATACACCTACACCAGCCTGAATACACCTACACCAACCTGAACACACCTACACCAACCTGAATACACCTACACCAACCTGAATACACCTACACCAGCCTGAATACACCTACACCAACCTGAACACACCTACACCAACCTGAATACACCTACATCAACCTGAATACACCTACACCAACCTGAACACACCTACACCAACCTGAATACACCTACACCAGCCTGAATACACCTACACCAACCTGAATACACCTACACCAACCTGAATACACCTACACCAACCTGAATACACCAACACCAGCCTGAATACACCTACTTAAACCTGAATACACCAACCTGAATACTACCACACCAACGTGAATACACCTACACCATCCGGCATACACCTACACCAACCTGAACACACCTACACCAACCTGAATACACCTACACCAGCCTGAATACACCTACACCAACCTGAATACACCTACACCAACCTGAACACACCTACACCAACCTGAATACACCAACACCAGCCTGAATACACCTACTTAAACCTGAATACACCAACCTGAATACTACCACACCAACCTGAATACACCTACACCAACCTGAATACACCTACACCAACCTGAATACACCAACACCAGCCTGAATACACCTACTTAAACCTGAATACACCAACCTGAATACACCTACACCAACCTGAATACACCTACACCAACCTGCATACACCTACACCAACCTGAATACACCTCTACCAACGTGAATACACCTACACCAACCTGAATACACATACACCAACCTGAATACACCTACACCAACCTGAACACACCTACATCAACCTGAATACACCTACACCAGCCTGAATACACCTACACCAGCCTGCATACACCTTCACCAACCTGAATACACCTACACCAACCTGAACACACCTACATCAACCTGAATACACCTACACCAGCCTGAATACACCTACACCAGCCTGCATACACCTTCACCAACCTGAATACACCTACACCAACCTGAATACACCTACATCAACCTGAACACACCTACACCAACCTGAATACACCAACTTGAATACACCTACACCAACCTGAATACACCTACACCAACCTGAACACACCTACACCAACCTGAATACACCTACACCGACCTGATTACACCTACACCAACCTGAATACACCTACACCAACCTGAATACACCTACACCAACCTGAATACACCTCAACAACCTGAATACACCTACACCAACCTGAATACACCTACATCAACCTGAACAAACCTACACCAACCTGAATACACCAACCTGAATACACCGACACCAGCCTGAATACACCTACACCAGCCTGCATACACCTTCACCAACCTGAATACACCTACACCAACCTGAACACACCTACATCAACCTGAATACACCTACACCAACCTGAATACACCTACACCAGCCTGCATACACCTTCACCAACCTGAATACACCTACACCAACCTGAATACACCTACATCAACCTGAACACACCTACACCAACCTGAATACACCAGCCTGAATACACCTACACCAACCTGAATACACCTACACCAACCTGAATACACCTACATCAACCTGAATACACCTACACCAACCTGAATACACCAGCCTGAATACACCTACACCAACCTGAATACACCTACACCAACCTGAATACACCTACATCAACCTGAATACACCTACACCAACCTGAATACACCTACACCAGCCTGCATACACCTACACCAACCTGAACACACCTACATCAACCTGAATACACCTACACCAGCCTGAATACACCTACACCAACCTGAATACACCTACACCAACCTGAACACACCTACATCAACCTGAATACACCTACACCAACCTGAATACACCTTCACCAACCTGAATACACCTACACCAGCCTGAATACACCTACACCAACCTGAACACACCTACATCAACCTGAATACACCTACACCATCCGGCATACACCTACACCAGCCTGCATACACCTACACCAACCGGCATACACCTTCACCAACCTGAATACACCTACACCATCCGGCATACACCTACACCAACCTGAATACACCTACACCAACCTGAATACACCTACATCAACCTGAACACACCTACACCAACCTGAACACACCTACATCAACCTGAATACACCTACACCAACCTGAACACACCTACATCAACCTGAATACACCTACACCAACCTGAATACACCTTCACCAACCTGAATACACCTACACCAGCCTGAATACACCTACACCAACCTGAACACACCTACATCAACCTGACTACACCTAAACCAACCTGAATACACCTTCACCAACCTGAATACACCTACACCAACCTGAACACACCTACATCAACCTGAATACACCTACACCAACCTGAATACACCTTCACGAACCTGCATACACCTACACCAACCTGAATACACCTTCACCAACCTGAGTACACCTACACCAGCCTAAATACACCAACCTGAACACACTTACACCAACCCGAGTGAGTGAGTGAGTGAGTGAGTGAGTGAGCGGGTGAGTGAGTGAGTGAGTGAGCGAGTGAGTGAGTGAGTGAGTGAGCGAGCGAGTGGGTGGGTGGGTGGGTGAGTGAGTGAGTGAGTGAGTGAGTGAGTGAGTGAGTGAGTGAGTGAGTGAGTGAGTGGGTTGCTGGGTTGGTGAGTGAGTGAGTGAGTGAGTGAGTGAATGAGTTGGCGGGTGGGTGGGTGGGTGGGTGAGTGAGTGAGTGGGTGGGTGGCTGGGTTGGTGAGTGAGTGAGTGAGTGAGTCAGTGAGTGAGTGAGCGGGTGACACAGCCATTGTTTGTCCCTGAAAGGAGGTGCCGACAGTAATATTTGGATCCACAGCACAGTGCACAATCTATTGTACAGGATCATGTTCTCCCTCAACAATTTATGGTACAGATTATTTATAACAGACCAGAAAGAAGGATCAAAACAAATAGACAATGTATTGATAGGCACTATTTTGTTTCATATTTCACTCCTATCGTTACCCCTTAGCAATTGGGGAGGCATTCACCTGTCTGAACAATTCATATGTTTTGTCCTGTGCCAATTTCTGCACTACTTCCCCAATGTGTCTGTCGATTTACTTCAAGTGTTAGCTAAAGCATCTCACCAATACACCCCCACAGACCACTGCCTACATCGCACATGTAACTGATGACATTTGCCATGTTCTGATCGCGTTGAGAAGTGAGAGAAGCGCCCATACAATCTGCTTCAGTTTGCAGTCGGGTCGGCCATCATCAAACTACAGTAAACATTTATTAGTACCATTAATCACTTAAGCTATTTCCACGTCTAATAAGCGACACATTTGCTGTGTTATTTACCCATAAACGTTGTGTTCGACACAGATTTCATTTCGGGGCTGTGTAAATATCCAGGGCGGTGTTACTTACGCCAATAAAGTCGGACATTGACGATTGTTGAAACAAAGAGCAGTAATGCAGAACTGAATGAGTGATCATTTCATTCGGTCTTAGTTAAGGTGTCCTTATACCGTGTATGCTGGAGACATGTGTGACGCAGCCTCGATTATCCAGTGTATGATTATTCCATTATTAGAAACACCCTGGATCCGCTGACCACGTAGTTTCGAAAGTCCCGTCTTGTCGGTGTATTTTACTGTTTAACAATGATTGTAAATGTACTGCATTGTTTCTGTTGGCTAGAGACGCTGGACAGTAATCAGTCGTCAGGAAGTTATTATATTTAGATGCTAGAGTGGTGTGTAAACTTCCGATCCGGTATACCGCGGACGTGATAGTATGTTATGGACTGGTGAGGGCACTGGTGGAACTTTCAAGTGGCTGGATAGGTTGTATATTAGGGGTCAATAGCGTGTTTACGTGTCTCTCACGCATTTCATCCCTTCGGAACCTGGTTTCATGTGAAGATCGCTCATCACCCCTCATTCCCTGCCTAGCCCATCTCGGAAGCTTGACCCACTGTCGCCGCTGGGTGAATATAC